TGTTTGCTGGTGTTTATATGTTTATAAAAACACAGCTGGTATTATGCCATATAATTTCATTACTAATAGTGATTAAAATGCGTAATCTACGGTTCGGTACCAATTTCGTCGTCAGTGCTAATGAAAATATTTAAATTTCTTGGTAACAAGGATGTCATATAACCTCCTAGATGGTATTTTTTAAGATATATGAACATCAAAACTCATGGGATACGTTTTATGAGTGTTTGTTAAAAAATGTCATTCAAGATCAATTAACAAAAATTATGGATTTTTTCTCTAATTTTTCAAAATAATTTCCCCTTCGTACATTGATTTATAATCTCGACGAAGTTTTGATCTCAATATCATAGCCCTTTTAAAGACCACTAACTCAAGTATCGTTATTTATAACTCCCGTGAAGACGCGAATTAATTTTTATCAGAGACATGTCTCTGTTGTATTTAACAAGATTAGTAAATGCATCGACGTCTATTGGAAGGAGTTTAGCCTGGGGTCCTGGCTAATCTTGTCGACGCGCAGCTAGATCGGGCCGGGATGCCAGGCTAGAAGGAGTTAAGAGTTATCGTTAATTATCTACTGTCCAATTTAAACAGATTGGGTTATCTCGCTTGGAAATGTGACATATTCTTGCATATGCGTTGTAACGGGAAAAAAATCTTTAAAAACAGGTTTCAAAGGTTGAAAAAATGACCGTCAACAACACAAGTCTAATGTTACTATTCCTGACCTTCAGTATTGTTTTTTCTCTCATTTAATGTGTTACTTTTGTAACTCCGACATACAGTTTTACTTTTGTCATTATTTTGTTGGTAACATGAACGTTTACGTTTCAATGTATCACCGAAAAAAACTCTAAAATTGGTTTCATAAGGTTGTAAAAATTACCACAAACAACACAAGTATAAGGTACCAATTCATGATAATCAGTATGATTTCCCTTTCTAACATCAAGTACTTTGCTAACATATTGTTTTAATTTTGTCATTATGTTGTTGCTAACAGGCCAATGTAGGTTTACGATACATCACGAAATTTAGTTTTCTGAAATTTTTGAATAGCAAAAATGATCATCAACATGATTAGTTGTCCAAAATCACAATTTTAACCCATTTTTTCTAGCACCATAAAACTATAATGGCCGACAAAATCTCCGCCCAATAAAAATCTTCAACAAGACAAGATTTTTGCCCACACAGTTTCCATTCAACACAAATATTCTTTTTGAATTTTATCAATTTTTGGCAAACAAGCTAGATGAACGATACAAGAGCCTTCACCAATGGAATAAGAAAACACACCGAGATGATATGTCCAGAAAAAAACAACATTTGAACTCTATGATATCAGAAGCACAAGTAAAGGTAAACCAATATGAAATATTCAAGTTTCAAAGAATGGTATAGTTACTGAAACCAGACTCTGTACATAACCTTCTGATGTAGGAACCAATTAATATAAAAAAAGGTAAATACAAGCTAGCTCTTTGTAGATTGTAATATCGGCCGCTTTACCATTTTTCTTCTTCATTTTTTTATCAAATTGTCACAAGTCTAACTTTTCTTGAAAAACCACAATAAATCCCTTTATTTTATGTATAAGTTTCCCTTGAAATGATTTCACACCAGGTAGTATATTTTCAAAATGTAGTTTAATCTTATATCTATATTATCTCAGTTTCTTGTAAGTAATTTGAGGTTGTAACAAAGAAAAACCATGCATGTTATTTGGTTGTTACAAAGTTTGGTTAGATAATATACTTGTAATCATTGTCGATGACCTAAACCTCAACCCAACATAGCGATCACTGTTATAATAAGTATAGAAAATTTGACCCCCAAAAACTTTTAAATATTGAAAAAAATCATATTTTAGGGACCAAAAGCTATCAAAATTTGGTTAAATAAAACATTTATGATCCTCTTTTAAGAAATATGGATGATGACCACAACTACACGCAAACATGACTGCCCAGTTTCTTAAAAATGTGAAATTTGAAAAGTTTTTAAAAATCTGTTGAATGACCAAAAGCGCCCAAACTTGCAAAAGACCGAAAGCATCATAACTTGTGGAAGACCAAAAGCGTCCAGACTTCGGTTAAATCATATACATTTATAGTCCGCCTTTAGAATTAAGATTGAACCCACACAGTTTTCACGATCTCTATGATTACTGCAAATAGAAAATTTAACCCCCAAAATATTAATAAACATTTCTAAAGGAGCTTGTGAAAGACCAATTGCCTCAGACGTTGATTAAATAATACATATTTGACCCCCTTATGAATTATGAATGATGACCACAACCGCCCTCAAACATGCCTGCCCCCGTTACCAAAAAAGTGGGGGAAAATTGTCTTCTAAAAAATCCCGGATAAAAGACCAAAAGCGTCCAGACATTGATTAAATGATACATTTATAACCCGCTTTTAAAATTATGATTTGAAGACCAATTGCTTCAAACTTTTATTAAATGATGCATGTATGATCCCCTTTATGAATTATAATTGATGATCACGACCACCTTTAAACATGACCATATTGTTACATAAACAATATTATAAAATAAGAAAATTGAAAGATTCAATAAAAATGATCCTGAAAAAATCATATGAAGGAACAGTTGCTACAACCGTCTTTTGATATGGCTGCTACTGTTTCTTAGAATAAGATTATTTGAAGAAGAAAAAAACAATATGTTTAAAAACAACAACCTGTTCGGGGCACAATTGCCACAAAACATATTATTTATGTCCAGAACGAAAGGCATCCTTTGTTGCTGAACATATTTTTTTTAAAAATAAAATGGAAAATTACATAAAAATCATGCGAAAAATGAAATGCTTCCAATTTTCTTGGAGTGCAATTTGCTTTTGTCCCTTTTGCATAATGTTGTTAATTTTACACTTACTAGGTTCGTGCTTTTTTGGTTTGTTTATTGTGCTTTAAGGGGATGAGAGGGGAGAGTGTGAGTGTTTTAATAGAACTGTCAGTTGCATTCTCAAAATTCTTCAGCACATTAACGGAACTTCAACTTCAACAGGTACATGGTCCTTTTGATCGGAATCGGTATCCTTGCAACAATTTATTACACCTCCCCCATATAAATGAAAAGGAATACATTATCACTATGTTTTGATTGGTATATTTAAAAAAAAATCTTATCTCTCAACTTATAGATTAAAAGCTTGTTTGCCCCAATATATAGCCATGACCTGTACAGTTTGAAGAAATCAGATATATCTTTAGAACTTTTTTGAGTTCTGAATTATGCCACCACTTACTAAGCAGACTTGTTGTTCATGGTTGCCGTTGTTGTTTTTCAATCATAAAGATGTAAAATCTGAGCTGTACATAATACAACAAGGGGACAGGGAAGACCGCTGATAATTTATACCAATGATGTCTCATTAACGTATATTCGCGTATCCTTGTATTCATATTGAAAAATAAAACAGTTTGTAAATATGAAATGTGTTACTCTAGGTTAAAGTTTTGGACTTCCAATATCTGGTTTTTGATAACCACGGAGAGGAATTTATTTTTTTTTATCCGCATAGGGTTCATAAAATCAATTACTGTATCTTGTACTCTTGAATTATTTCTATGTTATACCGTCTTTTTCAATAAAGAAAATTCTAAATACAGCCTTTTGTATCGGTTATGGACAAAATCTGGAGATTTAGGAGCAACTGTATTCAAAGAATAGAACAGTTTTTATTGTTAAGTTTTGACAACATTATCAGTAAAAAGAACGGATTGTTTTTATTCGATAAACATTTCTGGCATCATGATGCTGCCAATCAGAATGGTTTCTGCAAATAAAAAAAAGAAACATTATAATCAAAGTACACCAAAGATATATATCTGCACGTTACTAACTTCAGAACGTACGTGTTAGAGTAGGTATATAATTATATTCTAGAGAACCCAGGAAATTTGTTAATGTTTATTTTCGTTTTTTTTTCAACGTTTGACGTTTTAGGCAGTTTTCTCTATTCTTTATTGTGTTAACCCATTTTCTATTCTATATATTTTAGCACCCCTTTGTTTTTTGTCAATGATTTTCTATTCTATAAACCCCACCCAGGCCCTCTTATATCCTTTTTCCAAAATGTAATGATGTACCAATTTACAGTTATAGTTAATATTACCCAAACGACGTCCTGTTGGAATGTGGGTGTTAAATTTTATGGCTAGTGTAGGAAGAGTTTGATGCTCGCTGCACTTTAAAGAACGTCTGCAACAATTCCCTTTGGGTCTGTAGGTGGCCTGTTGAAAGGTAAACTGTTTGTCTCTACAAAACTTACCTTCATTTGTATTGGCAAGACCAAATTTCTAGATTTCCTCCCAGCTGGCCTACCTTGCAGAAACTACCTATTGTATTAATTGTTAAGTTGTTCTCGTTCTGAATACGCATGGAATAATTGCCACTGGACGTTCAGCAAGCCCTCTAGGATTTTCTAAAAGAGGACCAAGATTGGCACATGAACGATTTTTGCCTGAAGGGGGTGAGGGGGCGTCACTCAAAATTAGAAATAAATAATAAACAGAAAAATGTTGGGTAAAATTGGCTTCCAGGATCCACCCCCGACTACATACATTTTTGAAAGAAAATAAATTATAATTTAACAAAATGAAATGACACTTAATAAGGTATAATATCCATTATATTGAATTGAAATCAAATTAATGTTGTTGTTTTGTACTGAAAGACTACACACCAGTCACTGTCAACTGTCATTGTGAATCTACGATAAACCACTATTCTATGTCAGCCTATTTTCGTCGATGCGACTTTTATTATATTCGGGCGTACATTATGTACACTCGTTTAGGTACACTGACCCTAAACAATTTTTGGATTGGATTAAGCGCTTATGCGTGCTGATAATTCAACTTTCGTGCTGAACATTCTCATTTAGAAGTTTTTGTTTCCAGCTATTTGATGAAATTTATTAAAATTAACGTCTAGTTAGTCTTGTTTTGGTTCCTTGATTTTATTTTATACTTACAACTTCCGTTGCTTTCGGTTTACTTATAACATGCTTAATGATGCAGCCAACACTAAACAACAGAACTGACCCACCAACACCAAGTCCAACTCCAACTAAAATGGTTGGCACTAGAAAACGTAACATTTTAAAAACATGAAAAGATACATTTAAAACACGAAAAGATACATTTAAAACATGAAAAGATACTTTTAAAACACGAAAAGATACACCTAAAACATGAAAAGATACATTTAAAACACGAAAAGATACATTTAAAACATAAAAAGATACTTTTAAAACACGAAAAGATACACCTAAAACATGAAAATATATATTTAAAACATGAAAAGATACTTTTAAAACACGAAAATTTATATTTAAAACAAGAAACGATACCTTTAAAACATGAAACGATACATCTAAAATATGAAAAGATATATTTAAAACATGAAAAGATACCTTTAAAACATAAAAAGATACACTTTAAACACACACACAAAACGAAAACAACTCCTACTTTCATATTTTATGCGAGAAATTATACATACTATTGTAGTGATTTCCAGTTTCGTGTTTTATTAGTTTGAAACAAGTACAAAACGATTATTTTTACTTTCTGTTAGTTGTTTTTCCATTCCATCATTAATGATAATTTTTATACGTATAGATAAAAATACATTCTATTGCAAAATGCAAGCTCTGGTGATAGGAGCTTTTACTTGTAATTCGACTGATCAGAATTGAGAATTAAGAACTCACAAGTATGTTTAAGCCCGTCACACGCTTATATGTGGCATAAGGAACATAATGTCATGAACTTCAACAGTGACCGTCTTTGATAAAGTCTTAGCTTTTTAGTCTCTTTTTAAAACAACTCTGGTAGTTTCTGTTCAATTTAAATGTAAAGATTATTTTCTATAATATACATTTATGTATAAACTTACAGTCAACATCCGTGAAACTAAAACTAAAGGGCTTCTTAGAACTATCACTAGGTTGCTTAGATGTACCTGGAATATCGTAACAAAATGTATAGAAATAATCATCAAATGCAAATATTAACGAAAACAAATTATTAAAAAAAAGTTCAAAACAACAATGATAACAGAAAACTAGATAAAAAAGATGAATGAATTATTTGAGTTTTTGAAAAAAAATATTGCATACGAGTCTGACACTAGGAATCAATATCAAAAAGGTCTCAATGTGACTGAATTGAAAAGTATAGTGTAAGTGATGTAGCACCACCAAATCTATTGGATGCACCGCTCGTCTAAAATTTTATATGAAAAAGAAAAACAAACCAAGAAAGCAAGAACTTTTAAATTTTGTATAAAAAGTTACAGCTCAATTTTTAAATTTCTTACATTAACAGAAATAACCTCCAAAATTTCGACTTACTTGTTCTATTGTTAGTCATGAGTAATTTTGTTTTTGTTGTACTAGACGGACTTTTGTGTACCAATGAACCCAAGCATGGATTTATCCCACATGCATTTGTTTCCAGAGCACCACCTTGACAGTTTATACCACCGTTCGACGGAAATGGATTTGAACACGTTCTGTTTCTAAATCGTGTTCCTCCACCACAAGATTTAGAACATGTACTCCAAGATCCATATGTACTCCATCCGCCATCAACTGTCAAAAAAAAATTTAGTTTCTAGTACATAAAGTAACATAGAACGTTTTTGAAAACTTCAAGCAACCTATATACTTTTAATTTATCGTAATCCATAATCATCCCATAGCGATTATACCGACAAATCAAGACTGTCTTTAAAGGCTTTTGAGTACCTTAGAAACTGCATAAACCATTAGAGAAGAGTGAATTGAAAGTGGATACCATAAAATTCGAAGATCTCTTAATATTCATACAGTCAAAATCACTTTACGCATGCAATTGTTTAAAAAAAATCTGATTCTCCAATCTTTACACAAGTATTCTTACTCTGAACTTAAACATATATTTAAGGAATAAATCCTCCTTCATTAAAAAAAAAGGTCAACGATAATACAAATATCTTCTTTAGAAAGATACAAATCACAATTAATAAAAATCATTTTTATTCTGACAATGTTCTTTAACACTAACATCATAAAATTACCCGGTACTTGATTCCATTATTGACAAACTATGTGTCATGTTTTATTGATGTGTTTTTTTTGGACAGAGAGTCGGCATTCTTATGGGAACCAAATATGTACCTCCCCCGCGATCTTTGTCATTTTATTTTTTTGAGACAGACTTTATACAAGGGCTTCTCAAGAAGTATACAAAAAGGCTAGGGATATTCCTTAACTTCACGTTCCTATATACATGTAGATGATGTCCTTTCACTGAAAACAATGGATAGAAGATACCAAATATGGGCAAAATAAAACATAAGTCGAAGAAAAACAGACATCACTATGACCAAATGAAAAACCTCGGAAAAGGAAACAACAGGCCACAAAACACTAAGCAGAAAATAAAAGACTAGGCAATACGGGTCCAACGGATGACGTCACAGTTAGAAAATGACCATTTCTCCTCTCTCAATCGACCCTCATGGTCCATTTCTAGTTGAAAGTCAAATATGAACCGGACATAATTGTATCTGTGGTATCCTTTATTTCTAGAGGGTTGCGTTTCCTATAAGGATTGTCTGATAGAAAGTTGTTGACTAAAAGGAAACTATTGAACGAATGGTTTGAAGTCATCTCTTGAACATTTTTACTGACATCAAACATTTTCAGTCTAATATTTGCGAGACATAATTTTTTTCCTAGTAGCATCTAAATTATTGATTTTGTTTTGTTATGCCTCAATTCCTTGTGATACATTAAAGATCGTCCTAATAAATCTTTTGGTGAAGTTAGAGGGAATATATATTTGGTTCTACTAAAACAAAAGACTTACTTTACCAGGAGGAACGTTGAAAATATGAAACATTCAGAAGTCGATTTGGTTAAAATGTCAAACTTTTAAATAGTAACTTTTTTGGTAAAGACGATGAATATGTTTTAACTATCTGCATTACGATGGACATCAGTTGTTCACGGGTCCTTTCGGGTTTATGTCTTTACTTATATCAAATATCATCAAAGATTGATACTGACCAACATGAAAGCCCAGTTCTTTAATTTCAGATTCTGCTATGAACATGATGCACTTTTAAATAGCGATGAATTTCAACGGCTGAATGAGACTTGTCACCGGATTCGTACTTGCCGGAGTAAAAAGACGGTTGTCAAATGTGGAGCAGGGACTGCTTACTCTTCCAGAGCACCCCAGTTTTTGATGGGGTTCTTTAGTTTTCTATGTGGTGGTTTGTGAATTTGTACGTCTTTTCGTCGTTTTTCGTTTATTGTCATGTTTTTCTTCGACTTATGAGTTTTGAGTTTTGAATGTCCCCTTGGTATCTTCCAAATTGTAAGTTTTAATTCTGCTTCTCCTTGTAGCAAAAGCACAGTGTACTCAGTGCTAGAAGGTTAGTGGACTGACTTCCATAAGAGAAAACATCACCATGTCATCAATTCTACGTCGATATGTAGATCGAGCGTTACCAAATGTGTGTGTCAAAAATTACATTCAGAAATATTTCCCGAAGTTCTTCAAGTTCTGTAACTGATTTTTGCCGTTGCCAGATTTTACCCATTATGGATCCTTGAACATTAAAAAGTACCTTTGGTATTATATGGAAGACAGGACATCCTTACCGTCGATGAGCACCTAGTATAGTTCCGAGATTTTGGTGAGAACCTTTAGTTTTTATAACTATAGTTTAAATGTTTGCTTTTCGTATCATCTTTTCTCTCTGTTACTTCTGATTTCCCATTTTAGCGTCCCTGGGATTCTCGTTTAAAATAATGGTCGATATTTACATCAAAATATACAAAAGCACAATAATAAGTGGTGAAAAAATTAAGTTTTGAGTTAAATATGCATACAAACATTTTTGTAAATGAAATAAATAAATGAGAATAAGGATCTTTTTATCTACTAGTACTTTGATTATGGAACATTAAAAAGTTCTATCGACGGTTCGTACCTTTTGACTGCACACTTGAGACAACGGGAACAGATCTGGTGCTCTTTGGTACAGGTGGACCTACGAATGGTAACGATAAACAACTATATGCATATTATTAATAACTTGTGTGAAATAGATAGACAGTGTTAAACTAAGCAGTCAACTGTACATCTATGAGTTGTTGCTTATTTTACAAGTTGGTATATTACTTTATTCGGTGGAGAGTTGTTTCATTGGCAATCATACCACATCTTATTTTTTATATCACGTGGTTGGTACCTTATATTTTGTTGAGACAAAATATCCATTTTTTTCTCTCATAGAAACCCAATTTATTAAATGTACTTAAAGTAATTATTTCATGTTAGTTATCATTAAAAATATATCTAAAAAAATACACTACAATTATTTACTTTATATTCGTGAATATATAACATACATGTAAATGAAATTTATAACAAATCATATAACAAGCTTTACACGACATAGTGTGTTACAATATACTTACAACTTGTATATCTTTCCCATGTTTTAATCGAAAGTTCTACTTTATGTGATAAATGCTGAGTATTTGCCTGACCCCACCATTTATCCACCAGCAACAGTGCTCCAGACGATGTGTATGGATACCAAAACCTAACGGTCTGGTTGGAATAAGAAATCACTATTCCGCCAAAAGAGTCGTTTCCGTTAACATTCTGTACCGCGCCTGAGCCATGAAATATAAAATTCTTACTTCTACCGTCAAGAGCTCTGATCTGTAAAGCGAAAGAAGAAAACAAAAATCAAAAATAGAATTTATAATTATTCATTTATTTTATTGCCGAATTCGACAAGGTTCCGGATTTTTTGTAATATCTCATGAGCAGCACAACGGGTGCCACTAGAGCAGCATCTTTCTGGCACACCAGAGGTCATACCTATTTTTATGTGGGATTGCTGTTGCTTAATTTTTAATATTATGTGGACTATTTTTTATTCTTCTGGCTTTATATGATGTATATATATAGTCTCAATCCCTCTTCGATTTTTAATTTTGATTGGTCCTTAGTATCGTTTCACTTTTACCATGAATCGATTTTAGTATTTTGCAGTATCTATGCTAATTGTTTATTGTCATATCTGGAAATGTAGATATCATTTCGTATACAGGCATGTTTTATTACATGTATATGTACAATTTTTGATGTGAACAATTTATATGTTACGTACGTGTTGACGATCATGCATTATGTTTAAAAGATGATCACGAAACGATGGTTTGTAAATTTGGTAATCAGGGAAACGGACATTAATCAATTTTCTATTGTATTATGCATCATTGTCGATTATAAATCACTAATGGAGAAATATTGGAGTAACACGATGTGTGTTATTGATTGATTGATTGATTGATTGGTGTTTAACGCCACCTTCAAAACTATTGTACTATTTCGTGGCGGTCAGTTTTTTATTGGTCGAAAAAGCCGGAGTTCCCAGAGAGAACCATCGACCTTCGGTAGGAAAACTAACAATTCTAGTCAATTATTAAGATTGGAGTCGAGTCCACCTGCCCCGTGCGGGATTCAAACTCACAACCTCAGTGTTGATTGGCTAGTGTTACAGTAGTTCGACTACTTAGACCACTCGGTAGACTGAGGCCAGATTTGTGTTAGTAGTTGAAGTTGAATTCTTGAACACATCAGTTCTGTACCGGTATTTGGCGGATTTTTTTATGGCTATAATTTTAACCTTTTTTAATTTCTTTTTGGCCTAGGCATGGGTTTGATAGCAGCTTTTGTGTCTTCTTATTTTTAGCATATATAAGACCATTGCTCACAGAAACAACAACTCTTTCAATTACTGTTCGTTTGCCTGTCTGCAATGGTCACGTCCAGGCTATGAACATATACCAGCATCTCTTAATGTAGCATTTGCTGCTGATAGGGCACCAGCTTGGTTGCGCGGGATAGATTCATGTCCGTTTGACTGTGCAACATATATAAAGAAGTCACGTCCAACTTGAGAAGTTGAATCCTAAAGGTGCACATGCTTTTCAAAACAGTCGGCATTCATATGGGAATCAATTGTGCTCTCTTCATACCAAATATTTCGTTTATTCATACGAGACAGATTTCGTATAATGGCTTCTAAATAAGAATGAAAAGATAGATGTAAGGATGGATTGGTGTTTTTCGTCCAGTGACAAATATTTAACGCATATCAAGACGAAGACATGTTAATTTGATATGAATATGTTTGTGTACACGCTTAGTCGAATTTTTACGTGCTAACTCACAGGGTAACATTCCACAGGAAGACATGTTATACAATTTGGACACATTATTCTGAGTACGAGTCGACCGGTGTTGGTCTACTCCTGGATGCTGCGTGCTTTGTGGAGAGGCAGCAAATACCAATTTTCAAGTCTTTAGTTAAACCCGATCGGTGGCCGAACCCACACCATCCTCCACTCAAGGCAAACACGCTACCGCGAGATCACACATGGCAAGTAGGATGAAAAGAAGCACACGCATACAATCGCGTCTATCCTGTTGAACTTGAAATAAAGGATTCCAAAGATACAGGTATCTTTATATATACCTATAGACTTGCACCTAGTTATGAACAGTGAGGGTCAGGTTGGGTCGATAACTTCATTTATAAAAAATATGACTTAAAAAGGGACATTAGCTATACGAATTAGACAATAAATACAATCTCAAACATTTATAAAAGCGGAATATAGAATTAAAATTTCGCTATTGGCAGTCAATTGGGTTCAAATTCGTCAAAATAAGCATTAAAAAAACATCGCTGAAGTATTATTGCATGGCTTACAAGTCATTATGTCAACTCATTTGAATCCGTATTCATGCAAACTTTTGATTTGACCTTTGGTGGAGATGGTTTATGCGCATGTCCTCATGTGGTTCGTTCAATAAAAAGAAAAGAATGCCAACATAGAAAAGTGAAACAAGGGAGTTACCGGGAATAACCATTTTGTTGACAAATCCAGCCCTGGCACAAAAAAAAAATCATACTTATTTAAATAACACGATGATTTACATATGTTTTAAACCTATAACTTAAAATCAAACAAACCTAGAAAAATCCGATTGCATGTGCTCGCTGTCTATTTATATTTAAATGTATATTTATGTTTATTTCGGGCTATATGATCGTCGACAGTTTGCGGAGTTCATCTCGATGGATAATTAGATGGCGTCAGGTCTAAAAAACGTTCGAAATGATGATACATTATAGGGAGCGCCCATGCATTGTTAATTTTTTTTTTTCAATTTACTTTTTTTGTAATTTGAGTATACGTTTTAGTATATTATAAATAAAATATGAGAATTTTGATCAAATCTGTGAACATGAATTTGACCCTTGAAATTCCCCATTGTGAACTTTCCATTTTTATAGAAACATTTCGGCAACACTGGTTGTGCATTTTTCTTGTACATATGAATCATTTCCTTTGTTATGATGATATCGAAGAAAAAATGACGGGATTCCTGTCAACTATTGCAGGTTGACTTGATGAACAAATATATTATAACGTCATCTTATTCAATAAAGTAAACGAAATCTCAACAATTCAAACATTTTCCGCGATGGCATATGCATTATGTGGAGAAAAATTAAACGTCTTCTAATTTTCTCGGCTCTTATGTCTTTCTTACGGTGGTACCAAACACCTCGACTAAAATTAATTTGGCTCGTTTAATTTTCATAAAATTTTGCCAAATATTTACTTTGACCCTTTGACAAAAATATAAACAAGTTGCTTTCTTCAAAAAAAAGAAAAGCAATACGTGAACCTAAGACCGCTGACTGCCGGGTCACCAAAAGATTGTTGCTGAATTTGTGTTTGCTTTTGAATTGAAATAATTGACTGTGATTAGAAGAAGTCAGTTAAATGTGTATATTTACATCTACTATTTGAACATACATTTTAAAGCTAGACTATTTTATTTAGTACTTGGGAATGTACATAATTTATTTTATCTATCATATCTTCATATTTTGCTTCCTGCATGGACCTTCATGTTCTCAACTCGTTATTGAAGCTGTCTGTACTCATGGTAGATGTTAATTGTATAGACAAATCTAAAGTCCAATTTCCATATGCAATGAAACCTGTGGCATGCAACTGATTGGGACATCTTATAAAGAGATTTTTTTGGTCTAATAAAACATCTCAAATCTTAAGGATTTACTGATTTTACTTAAATCAATTCAAATATTCTACAGGGAAACTTGGTTTTGCCGAAGAATATCTTAATCAGAAATTTTATGAATACCTGTACATACCCTCAAAATAACCAATTTATATAAAAAAAAGTATGTAGATATAAAAAGATACCAGAATTTAAAATGATGTTCGCCAGACGCCAGTCTATAAACAAGAGGCTCTCAAGAGCCTGAATTGCTCACCTGTATTTCAGAGAAGATTTTTAAATGTTAGCAAACTTGATGAACAAATTGTGTAAAATTGTCTTTAAAGGGCAATAACTCCTTAAGGGGTCAATTGACCATTATGGTCATATTAAATTTTTTGTAGATCTTACTTTGCTGAACATTATTGCTGCTTACAGTTTATATATATCTATAATAATATTCAAAATAATAACAAAAAACTGCAAAATTTTGTTAAAACTACCAATTCGGTGGCAGCAACCCAACAATGGGTTGTTCGATTCGTCTGAAAATTTCAGGGCCGATAGATCTTGACAAATTAAACAATTTTACCCCTGTCACATTTGCTCTAAAAGATTTAGTTTTTGAGATATAAGCCAAAAACTGCATTTGACCCTTATGTTCTATTTTTAGCCATGGTGGCCATGTTTGTCGATGGATACAAACTTCGGATACAATTTATAAACAAGATACCCTAAGGAACATTTAGTTAAAGTTTGAAGGTAATTGACCCAGTAGTTTCAGAGGAGAAGATTTTTAAATGTTAGCAAACTTGATGAACAAATTGTGTAAAATTGTCTTTAAAGGGCAATAACTCCTTAAGGGGTCAATTGACAATTATGGTCATATTAACTTTTTTGTAGATCTTACTTTGCTGGACATTATTGCTGCTTACAGTTTATATATATCTATAATAATATTCAAAATAATAACAAAAAACTGCAAAATTTTGTTAAAACTACCAATTCGGTGGCAGAAACCCAACAATGGGTTGTTCGATTCGTCTGAAAATTTCAGAGCTGATAGATCTTGACCAATTGAACAATATTGCCCCTGTCAGATTTGCTCTAAAAGCTTTAGTTTTTGAGATATAAGTCAAAAACTGTATTTGACCCCTATGTTCTATTTTTAGCCATGGCGGCCATGTTTGTCGATGGATCAAAACTTCGGATACAATTTATAAACTTGGTACCCTAAGGAACATTTAGTTAAAGTTTGAAGGTAATTGGCCCAGTAGTTTCAGAGGAGAATATTTTTGAAATAGTTTACGACGACAGACGACAACAGACGACGACGACAACAGACGACGACGACAGACGACGGACGACGACGACAGACGACGGACGACGACCGACGCCAAGTGATGGCATAAGCTCACATGGGGACCTTCGGGCCCCGGTGAGCTAAAAAGCATCAGTGACACTCGAATGAAAAAGTTAAAAGGCCAAATAAATTACAAAGTTAAGGAATCTATTCCTTGGGTAGACAATCCTTAGCTTTTCGAAAAGGTCAAAGTTTATTATAGGACAGTGACTCAAAAAAGAAACAAAAGAGAAACAGCTAGAGGTCAGAATACCGTAAGTAATGATGACCGTGCATGAAAGTCACATGTCAATCTCTTACAGCCGTGTCCTAAATTTAGATAAGAAAAACGAAAATGCGCATTCACGAGTGAAATTAGTATTATTGGAATTTTTGAGAACGCTGTACCGATAGTGTGCGTTTGAAATGTGATCTATAATGTGCATGAATCAAGACGCCTGTAGGATAGTTGGGCAACACAGTGAATACAATTTTTAAAACCGTACCATAGTACAAATATGTAGATGTTATAAGGAAAACTATTAAAACAAACGAACAAAAATAGAATTGAAATTTTATAATAAACATACGTTCCTGTTAGTAATTTTTTTCCGAAAATTTTTGATATATATACATGTAGTATTAATAAACACAAACGTCAAGTATTTACGGACGGACATTTTATTTATCATATGAATCTATTTTTAAATTCTACCATTCCACTTTATGAATAGATAACTATACAAAATATAAGCAAAGACTTATAAATCCATACTAAAACTGTACAAAAAAATTAACATTATGATAGTACTTAATTAAATTTTGTTATGATTATTGTAAATTATTATTACGTTTTTTTGTGAGCTGCAAGGATTTAAAATCTTTGTGAATTGAAAACACACAAGTATATTTATTCCCGTTTGAATGGTTCTAGTAATTTTTTGGGGCCCTTTATAGCTTACTGTTCGGTGTGAGCCAATGCTCCGTGTTGAAGACCGTATACTGTGACCTATAATGGTTTACTTTTATAAATTTTGACTTGGATGGAGAGTTGTCTCATTGGCACTCATACCACATCTTCTTATATCTAATTATTCACGACCGTTTAAAATTCAAATATTTAATTAATTTATCTTACTTTCCGTTTTATGGATATATTACAATACAAAAAAAAAAATAACAATTACTTATAAAACCTTACTAAAACGGTAGGAAATAATTAACGTAGAAATATGATTATTATTTTTTATCAACATTTTTTTTGTATGATGCAAGGATTTATTCAGATTTAATTATTATGCATGTTTCATTCACAAATGAATATTTAAAAATACCAAAGCAGAGTATCGTGTCATATAAATACTTATTTCTTAATTGCAACTCTGAAAATATTCTGACTTCAATTTAATATTTAGTTTCTACAGTATATATTTTGTATATATTTCTTTGATTTCTATTGAATTAATTAAATTGAAAACTTTTGATAATAATATTATCTTTCTGTTTTCCATCTAATATACACATTTAAACCAGAATGTTCTCTCCTTAGTCTATGATGAAAATACACACGTGGTTAAATCTTCAGACATAATTAGTTTACATGGGTTGCGTTCAATAGTGTAGCTGCTACGTAGTGCTACGTAGATTTTTGTCTATTGAACGAGTAGCTAGCCTAGCTGCTATCAATATCTATGTAGCAGCTAGGCTAGCTACACGTTCAATAGTCATAAATCTACGTAGCCCTATGTAGCCGCTACGATATTGAACGCAACCATGTTATCATGACAATGCACAATACCACGTTATAATTGACCTAGATACACACAGTGTACAGGGGTCGTTTTAAAACAAATATAATTGCGTTGTCATAATACTTGCTTAGAAACTTTCACATCAAAGCGCTTATAAACATTCACTTTAAAAAACTCATATGTTTTGTGAAAAGGCAAAAAGGTTCTTATATTTAAACGATTTATTGACTGCAACCTAGCCTTATTGTTTACTTTCCTATTTACTTTGATGGTGTAATGTCACGTGGTAGCCTAGCCATGAACTGGTCCGCCGTTCCATCTATAGCTTCAGTGTAGCGATAAGTGAACACAACAGGGGTCCAGTTTAGCCTAGCCATAGAGGACCGTATCAAAGACGTAGATAACTACCTGTATAAATGATCGAAAACTTTCGAGATGTTCCGAGAATTTTATTCCGACTTCCGGCCGAGAGATATCGAGTGGCCCATAGACACATCCAAAACTCGCCAATATATAAGCGTGAACTCCTCAGGGAGTTCACGCAAAAATTCAAAAAACTTGAACCACACACTTTATCGGAAAAATTTCATTGGCTATATAGCAGTTTGACAAACCCTAATTCTGATCATCGAGAAGCTTGATATTTCCTTAACAATAGAACGTGATTAAAACGTTCAGCTAATTTTTACAGAGTTATCTCCCTGTAGTGTTATGTACCACCTTAACGTTATTGATAACCATTCTCCTACCTGAGAAGAACTTGCTTGTTATGTTTCGCCATAAGAGCATGTGGTTAAGACAAGGAACAACTGCGTTTGATTTTATATATAACGGTAGTTTGCTATCCTCCATGCCACAGATAAGTATCACACGAAAATGCAAGACTTTTACTCACTACTATATCTATTAGATTGTTTTCTGGGTCGACAAGCTGGTGTAGGTTCATGCTAAATGATGTAGCTGGTAATGTTACTGTTTGTTTGAAATTACTCTTAGAAGTAAGTGTTTTCCATGCATATATTTTTACAGAACCGGACTTCTGAAGTTTTCCTTTATTGTCACCCCATCCATCTGCAATGCTGAATAAACCACCTTCAAATATATACAATATTTACAGAGATACCCAGTTTACAATGTGGTAGTTAGGGAATTTGCATTTACCACACAGAAATCTCTATAGACATCAAAGAAACCATGAACTTTCAATTGATCTCCAGAAAGAAAAATGGGAAGAGATCACCGAGTAATGATTAATATTGTGTTAGTTATTTGTTTTAGATTATGTTATTTTTTTGTTTAGTTTAGAATTAAAACAAGACATAAAAAAATGATATGAAGAAGTTATCAAAAACGCACCCGAAAAGAAAATAAAAAACAACAAACAGGACAGCATCAAAATACATAAAAAGCTATTCAAAACACTTTCATACCTCGACCTCCATTTGGCGCCCATAATCTAAATACAGTGGTATTGTAACTGTATATAACTCCTCCCCAGTCTGTACCCGTCGGATTGGTCTGCATAGACGAACCTGTTCAAATAAGTTTTCAATAAATAGTATTTGAGCTCTGAAAGCTCCTTTAGTCCTACAAGCCTTGCCCACCCTTGGTAGTACACTAGATTTACTTTATTCTAAATAATACTTTTGAAAAACATGATTTCACTTTAATAACAAATAAATCATATTTGTCATAAAGTTAAGTATGAATTGGTTATCGCTTATATATTATATCTATATTTAAAATACGATTATATATATAAACAACAAGTTTAATAATGTGACAACTTTATAATAAAGCTCCCCGCACCGATACTCAAAAGCATCTGCTATACATGGCAAGGAGAACACAAAAATCTATATAAACGTAGTGCTAGAATGAGATATTTTTTAAGATGTAAACATCTCTAACTTCAGCCAGCGAGCGTCTGGCAATTTAAATTAAGACTCTCGACTCTAGAGGCGTGAGCATCAGTGGCAGCACTCATTGCTCATATCAGAGGGGATACACAGAGGTGTTTCATTTCCGCATACACAAGAATTGCGGACAGCTCAGCTGGATGGCTTTATCAGCTACCACACAGAGAACCGTAATCATTGCAAATTTTTTAACGTTATTGTCTATGGGGAATTATGACCACTAGCTAAATAAACGAATACTGTGTCTATTTTATAAATCTCTTATAAAATTAATAAATTATAGAGATCTCACCAATTTTTTAGCTTTGAAATGGTGTAATAAAATCCACTTTATCTTGATATTTACTGGTGTCCCTATCATGTTGAACGCCGGGTTCTCTTTTGGTTGAGATATGTTAAATTACGAGGTATACATATTTTATAAAAAATCATATTAAATTCATTTTTTATTGTAAATCAAATTAACAAATTATACAGTATTGGCAAATAATTTTCCTATAAAATGGTATAAGAATCGTCATTTTAAAATAATGTTTACTGTTGTCCCTAAGCATTTGAAAGTGAAACTTCATTATTTATGAATGCGATGTATATTCATTCAACTAAGATTGACCGTATTCAAAGACAAATTGGTCTTGTTATTTAGTTGAATTCTCATTTTTATGATGTGAACTTCTTTTCTAATTACATCCATCATTTTAATATCTAGTTAGGTTTTAAACAATATATTAATTTCTATTATACCAGAGACAATATGTCTCTGATTATACCAAAGAGTTCTTTAAACATCAAAATTTTAAAAGTAGTGTGGTATTGTTGACATCTTGAAGAAAACTTTGCAAAAAGTGTTTTTTTTTTCTTTTTTTTTTAAAGGGCTCTGTCTAATTAATCTTATTTTGATTTGAGTAAATTATATTATTATTATCAAATATTTGAATACACAATTGCATGATTGTATTATTGAAAAAAAATGTCTACGAAATCTGAAAAACTAAATTGAAATAGAAAAGAAAAGGTGACAACGTGCAATTTTTAATGTTATTCAAAACATACAAAATTTCATACAAGTTTTGTATAATGAAAAGGTATAGGGAATATTATTCTTATCATTATAAGAAATGATCAACGAAGTAAATGCAAGTATTTTGAATATATACAGTAAGATATCATAGCATGCTAGATATGCTATCTTTATGTTCTCCTTCATACATTAATCTTATTGTTTAGTACAAGGATTTGTATAGTACTATACAAATCCTTGTTTAGTATATTCATAAAATGTCGTTTAATAATACAAATGACGAAAAAAATCGAAGTCCTTTTTAAGAAAAGCTCCATAATTATCGATCTCAGCTAACATATAAACACGAATGTGTCAATATTTACATAGTATATTGTATAAGCGTCCCATGGTGCCACGGCAAATCCTTTCCGGTGCTGTTTCACTATTCAATACCATATGTTACTATTTTATCTTATCATTTAAGTATTATATTGAAAATATAGTAGTCCATGCACAAGAGCTTGTTGGGAGACCCCCTTTTTTATTTTTTGATATTAATATATAATTCCAAAATAGTCTTTTCACATCAACTTTTTTACCTTGTCTAAAGTGTTCAAACTCTTATCAATTCGATTTAACAATAATAATGTATGTATGTTGCCCTCTATTCTTATATGTTTAAGAGTATTCTACACATACGAATATAGGGTAACACATATAAACTAATTTTATAAAGTCAAAATAAAATTGAGATACGGCTGAAATATGAACGAATATTTTCAAATAAGATTAATTACAACAACAAAAAATTATAAAATTAACTAGACAAAGTGATGCCCCGCACTTCACTCTGAAGTAACTGTATCATAACAAAGATAATGTAGAACTTTATCTGAGATTTAATTAGTTTAAACATATTTTATTTGCTAAATATCAGCAAAATGGATGAGACACAAGTAAATCATACTTATGAGATTTAATTGTGTCTGGGAGACACAAATGATGCCCCCGCAGATGCAAAGTGTTATTTTAAAATAACTTCAACTATCTCCCAAAAGAGCAAATATTAAACCCTGACCACATGCACACCTTCAATATATGTACAAACCACTAAACCTTAAGGAGAAAGTCTGCGGTTTTATTTACTGATATCTATGTCTAATTAAGGGTAGTGAATTATGTAAATTTTATGTTCCTAGTGGACAGAAAAATATTACAATTTAATCCACAGGTGTTAATGATTTTAGGTGTTACCTAGATCAAATAATATTCAGCATGGAGTATACATCTGGCTTATACAATGTCAATATCGAATACATGTGACCTACCCATATCAAATAAAATCTAAAATTGACAGTAATGTACATCTTGTCATATTTATGATATTGCCTTTCTGTAGCTTTTATTTATATGTTTTATGAGATTTCAACCCTCCCTCTATACCTCTAGCCTATGTAGAATAAACAAAACACAGCAATACGCACAGTAAAACTCAGTTTAAAAGAAAGTCCGAGTCCGATGTCAGAATAGATAACAAAAGACACTTCACTAAGCAAAATGACAATGATACATGACAAATTAACTAAAGGACTATTTGCAATAACTGACATGCCAGCTCCACACTTCAATTAAACTGATTGAAAGATTATGTCTTCGTCATATTCATAAATTGTCTATCCTTTTCCAGAATCACGTTGAAGAGTTAAATGCTATTTTTTTTATATAAAACCATGGAAGTAATAATAATCTAGATAATACTCAAGCTTGCTTGATGTTGAAAGGATTTGTATATTGGATTTTCATCTAACTCAATTAAAAAGAAATATACAAGGATAGATCAGTTTGCCTGCGGCTTTAAAATGTTTCTTTTATTGAACTTGTTAAAATCAGAAACACCGACATGACCGATGATAAATTATTTGGACTATCTTAAAGCTTCCGAAAAGGTCGTATGTAGTATAAACAGGGTTACAAATTTCATACAATAAGAAATTTTTTTTTTTTAAAGTATTGATCAAGAGATATACATGTTACAGTGAATTTGTATAATCAGGGATTATGTAGAATCCCTGATTTTTCAGGGATTATGTAGAATCACCAAAATCATTAGTGATTATATATAATCCCTGAAAATGACCAGTGATTTTACATAATCACTGAACATTTATATAATTATTCTACAAATTCCCTAGTATGATTTCAGGGATTATCAATAATTCAAAGATCCTGTGTTTGATAAAAATTAAATAAAGATAACTTGTCGTTTGTGTTTTCTTATTCCTTGAAAGTTTAAGTGAACAGTAAGTATTTAAATTGTTTAAAGCCTCCTACCATCTCTTATATTTCATATAGATTACACTCTCTACATCCTTATACATTAACATAAGATTGGGGCTGGTGGGCATGGATCTAAAAAAATAACAAAACTTAAATATCTGACGATGATATGCAATCTATTTAATTTCAAGTTCATCATGGTTTACCAAGATCATTTATATGACAAAAAATGTTCAAACTGTAAATCCACAGTGCATTTTATTTGTAGTAAAACAAATGGCGAGGAAGGTTATGAAACCTCTGTGTGTATTTTGTGTTCAAATGAACAAGAAATTCAAACTGAGAGAACTGACGCAACTAAATGTATAGAAAAATTCGTAAGGGTTCCGCGGAACCCAGTGTCTCGCCTACTTTTGCTGTTGTCTATGTTTTCAGTGTGATAGGAAAATGCACACGATAGATTAATTTAACAGTTACTGAAATGGTTTATGTATCTAAAAAATGTTTTAAAAACTTTAACTGCAGACTGAATGTAATGTTAGCTGGAAAAAAAAAACTAAGTCCATTTATAAGTAATGTACGGATAAACAGGAAATAATTTGTTTTTAAATTTCTTTCTAGATACTAGCTTTTGATCATAAACAAGTTTCTGTCCAAGTTTGGTACACATCCAGGATAGTTTAATATAAAAGAAAGTTATTATTTTTTTTTAAACTTTAACCACAGAGTGAATGTAATGTTTGTTTTTTAAAATATTGTGCTTAATATTTTAATATTATATGCTTAATAATTTAGTATATTGTTCCTAACATTTTGATATGTTGTGCATAACATTTTAATGTATTCAAGGTTATCATTTTAACATATTGTGCTTTACATTTTACAATCTATATGTTTATAATGATGTTTTAATATGATTTTAAAGAATGAATTATTTAACTTTTATCCATTTTCTATATAAATGAAACTAATTCTTCATTTCAGTTATTCTGTATAATCCCTGACATTTTTTCTAGTGATTATACATAATCCCTGAAAATTTTAGTGATTATATATAATCCCTTAACTAACCAGTGATTCTACATAATCCCTGAACATTTTAGGGATTCTACATAATCACTGATTATACAAATTCACTGTAACATACATATATCATAAATATAGGAAATATAATAACATGAAAACAAACGTATCTCTTTTGAACCATCGTTAACAGAAAATATTCTTTCTACATCATAGATCATCATAGGGCATGCAAAACTTTTCTTTTTTTAATTTTTTCATTTCTATCGGCAATTTCTTCATCATTCATCTGTGTATAGTGTACGCGGGGTGTCTTTCTTAAATCCAACTGCGTTCGGAATTATCGTATATATAACTGCTGATATCACAAATTACCCTATAGGCATAACGTCAAAGTGACATCTATTGGCGGGGCGTTCGTTTAGGAGAGTTATCTATTCTTATCTACTGGTCACCAGACGATGAGAACAAGTGGGGAACCAGAATAGAAAAGTAACACGAGTTATCTCGCCTTGAAATGTCCGTAAGTTTTGTACATGCCAATTCCCACTTTTTTATAATTTTTTCCTACTTCCAACTTTTTTGTAATTTTTTTCCTACTTCCAACTTTTTCCTTTCTTTTTTTCCAGATTCAACTTTTTTTTACCCCCTATATCTCAGATCCCACTTTTGTATCTCCTATATACCACATCCCATACACGTTTCACCCCTCACACCAAACACCCTAGTCCATTCAAACACATCCTTCTTGTACGATAATCGAGGGTCTACCTGTAACTATGGAACGTAAAATGGCGTTCCATACACAATGTATAATTTGCATGATGTCATAAGGTAGATCATGATATATAATAAGAGCACCTATTTTTATGTAGGTGATGCTGCCATTGATGTGCAAGCACGAGCGGTATCGATGTCGGTAGTCGGAGACCTGATAGGATGAGGCTTACATTTGCTAGGAATCGAATTAAAAAATACAATATATATATATGTGTGTGTGTGTTTCTATATAATTTGTATTTAAAACTATAGCTGATGAAATAGTTTTACCAACAGCTTCAGTGATAAGACCGGGCTGAAATTTGACTTGAACTATTGCATAGTCTGGTTCCGCTCCTAATCCGTGGGATACTTCTTTGTAAGTGTTAGCTGCAATGAAAAAAAATAGAATTAAAACTATATCAAACATTCGTTCAATTAAGTTTGTTTATGTTGATTGCAGCTGGTAGTCTCCGTCGAATTTTATTTGAAACAATTATCTAGAATCTTATTTACATATTGTATAGAGACTTGCTTGTTCGCCTCTTAATATCATTTTCGATTTTGTAGCTTATTTCGTAGTTGTCTTAGTTGCGAATACCAATAACTTTCATTTAATCGTAGAATATGCTATCCTGTTGTGTAAGTTACTGAAATGGCTGCGTTTCCAAAATACAAAAACATTGGTAAGTGAAATTCTTAATATAAAATATATAATGAACTCTTCACACGTTTGTATTCATAATTCTTAAAGCTGTTGCAACACTTTCATATTGTATTACTTTTTTTTTTATTTTGTCCAGTATCTTGTTCTTACATTTCTTCAAACTTTTAAATTATATATGACAAAAAATTGTAAAATTATTTAAGAAGAAAGTTCATCATAACTTCTTCGGGTGCAACAAGTAAGAGAAGAAAAAATTAAATTTTATTTACTTATCATCAAACATGCATTTTAATGCTCTTGTTTTGCCATTTTCCTTATAAATTTAAAATGTACATCGATATTATTTGGACCTCATATCGTACAATGGTTAATTCTGTTATAAATTGACACTTGAATACAATACAGATTACACTCGTGCTTGTCGATGGCCTTTCTGTTACCTCCTACCAAGTGTTAAAGGGACAATTTAAACACTTACAAAAATTTAACATCATGAGAGAAAAAAAGTAAAGTGACTTGCAAAGCATTCTTGTTTTAAAAATATATCGCTTTAATTATACCAATACGTACTTATACTTATCAATACTTTTTATACTTATCAATACTTTAATATTTGACAGTGAAAAAATCTGCTTACTTGTTGTGTCCATGGGTATCCATGATGATTCAAAATCAGGTTTAGGGAAGTTATTCTTCCCCCATGCTCTGATCCTGTACTCAGCAGATGCTTCACTCTGTTGGACAGGACCAGACCAAGCACTTCCTCCTTCAAAGTTACAAAAAAGGTGTGAACGTTTTAATTCATAATAAGTTCACACAATAAATACTATGCTGAACCAAAGTATCAAAAGAAGGGACGAATTGACATATCTAACTCAAATGTTAAAATATGTGTCCCCCTCCGTAAATAAAATATACTCTCTTTTAATCTTGTTTATTCACCGCTGACCTGATGTAAGAATTGTGGACTGCAAAGTTCCTGTGAGTATTACTTACAAATAATCAGCGCTTTTGCACAATGCCATTATAATATTTGCTGCATCTATCGGTCGATACATTTTCTATAGTCTAGCTTCGTACATACATACGGAATGCTGACATGTTCCTGTGACAGTCTAAGTTGACAGTCTAGCTTCGTACATAAATACGGAATACTGACATGTTCCTAGGAGCGACAGTCTAGCTTCGTACATACATACGGAATACTGACATGTTCCTGTGACAGTCTAGCTTCGTACATAAATACGGAATACTTACATGTTCCTGTGACAGTCTAGCTTCGTACATAAATACGGAATACTGACATGCCGAGTCCTGTGACAGTCAGCAGCAAAAGATATATGGTGTACGTAAGAAATATGTTTCTATTGCAACACGAACTGAACTTTTCTCCTAGAGTGTTAGGCTTGCGTAAAATCATAAAATGTTTAGATAAATTTTGATGTGTTTTTTTTAAGTTTATTTACTTTTCATTATTTGCGAATTTTAATCAATAGCTTTAAAAAAAATAAATGGAAAATCTGTCCATAGGACACAGATGATGCCCCCGCTTGCATATAACGTTAAAAAGGGACATAACTCAAGAACGGTATTTAAAAGTGCAACTTCCAAAGCAAGGTTGTCCGATTGATTGTCGAGTTTATGAGCTATATACGGTCCTTGCTTGGAAGTTTTTAAAGGTGACACAACCCAAATTCGAACTTGATCTGTGTTTTGTAATAATAAGCATTATGTATGAGTTTCATATAACATTTGGTTGAGGCAAACTAAAGTTAGAGAACGGAACTAATTTTGGGACGTACAGACGGATTAGGGTAACACTTAATGCCCCCTCCGCCGCGGCGGGGGCATACAAAGTTTAATCAAAAGAGGACAATATTTTAAGTACGGCAGTCCATATAAGAATCATGCAAAATGATACTCTTGGATGACAAGCCTACGAATGAAACTTTTTGATATCTTATTGAGGATATAAAGTTATGTTGAAATTCATAAATATTTTTTATATAAACCATTACCATGCGAGATATAACTTCTATAGAATGCATTATGAAACTCATTATGAGGGAAATAACTCCAAAATATCGTATAGAACCTATTATAAAATGGATACCAATAATCTGTCCTGATTAGGCAGTAAATGGAAAATATTACTCATTTCGTTCATCTACACTTATATTGCAACTGATTGAAAAAAAACAAAACATTTGTAGACTTTCATGGAGTGTATCACAAAATTCGGATATTGCAAAATTTATCAAATGGACAACTACAGTGTTTACTACGTGATTATTTTGTAGATGTGGTATTATCCGGAAAGCAATCCCGATAACTACGCAAAATGAAACCAGGGTTGTGTAAATATGATATTATTAAAAAGTGTTTCATCGTTTTATGCTCTATTTGCAAAATAAATCTGTACAAAATCTTATTAAACATATGTATAAAAATCCTATTTCAACAACGGATTTTCAATGACAATGAATCCAATCTATATGAAGACTTACAGCAAATCCTTTTGAAATACAACATCCTCGTATTTGCAGACCTCGTGTTTTTAATCATTGGAAAATAAGTTATGTACCTGTATAAATCACCTTTCCAACATTATGTCCGTCATGTTTATTGGGGGCAAAAACGACCACTGCTTCGTCATTGTAGTAAAACACAAGTCCACCATAAGGACTATCTATATCGTCATCTCTCTGTGAAGACCCTAGTCCAGAAAAGTAAAACTGTCTTTCCGGCCTATTGATTCCCGGTCTTACTTGAACGTCAACTTTGATAGGAAATGTCCCTATTTCATGCTCAATTGTTTGCTGGGTTGAAACTTTGTCATGTGCTGTTATTGGGTTCCATGATGGACTAATGAAATATGGTTTTTGTAAACATGTTGTCCAGTCGGCTTGCGATCCTGTCAAAAAATTATGAATAAGTTTTGATTTATATGAAATGTCTGGCTAGTCAGTAAAACAGTAAAACTATCGCAAAAAGAAATTAAAAGCGACAATCTCTTTTTTTCAAAGTTGGTCAAGGCGTCTACTTATATTTCATACATGTATATTAAAAACTATGTAACGAAGGTTTTTTTTTATCAAATATATGTAGCAAGCAACCAGCGTCATTATCAATTAAGCGAAATTGACAATTAGTTCATTGGAAGTGACACACTATAGTTTCTATAGAGTTGAAGAATTGGAAACATTGCATTATAAACCTCTTAATTTGGTCATTCATATGACAAATCAAATGCAAGCGTTTATAATCACACTATACAGGAATAAAACCCCGAAACCCACCCTTTAATCCAAATTGTTGACCCCAAACATAAGTGTTGACGCAACACTGACTGCATGTGACGTAGGATACAAACTACATGTCGAATTTGTTGTCATAGTTATTTGCTGTACGAAAACGTGTATGTAGTAAAGTGACTTCCGTGACAGTGTTTTTTATGAAAATTCTCAGTCAAGGTTTCTATAATCAGACTATATGTTTGCAATCATTTGTAACTCATTATCGGATAATCAAATTAATGGCTTTGGCAACACAGAAACGCAACGAGAGTATGTTGCAAAGTTGGATATTGTTATCCTTTTGGAGCACTTTTCTAACTTACTGTAATATGAGAGTTGGTCGTACTCAGCTTCCAGGTTTAAGTGTTTTTACATGTGCTCATGTATTTTTAAAATTAAAAACTATTCAAGTTGTGGCTTGTTATCCCTTGATGATTACCTGGGCTTTTGAAATCCCTTGATGATTACCTGGGCCTTTGAAATCCCGATACTTTGATTTTTAGTGTGGCTCTGGTGCTCCTCTGCTCAATACCATATTAAAGCAGTAGAGGCATTACAGCGAAACATCTATTTCGAATACCGAAAAAAAAGCTTGCTGTAATACAAGGTATATATAGACATTTAAAGGTTTTCGGAGGGCATCATAGATGAATATTCTTGTTGAAATGTGTTTAATAAACATTGCTTACGTATCTTAAATTTTTTGTTGGACTTTAAAAGTTAGGCCTCCCCCGAAACAAAGATGATATTCTAAGTTGCGCAGGATAAATTCTGGTAAAACTGTAAATTAAACAAAATCATAATGGATGTTTTGGTCAAGATTAAAGTGTAACTTTTTTGAAGTAAAGAAAAAAAGAGGAATGTCAGTTCAACATGCAAAACATGGAAGAGGACAAAATCTAACATTGAACAACAGACAAATATAGGAGTTAAAACAGTCGGAACCGCAGGCGCATGGACTCAAACATAAATGATTTCAGGTTCTCTTATAGGTTAAGCATCCTCTGTTTCCACATGCATAGCCAATAATGCGCTCACATATATTCATACAAAGTATCAATTGCAGCCTTGTGGAAAGTGCGAGAAGATACGAAGGGGATAATTAAAAAACCGCAATGTCCTAAAAGACAAATAACACCATGACCAAAGAAAATAAGGCCACGAAAGCAGACTACAAAACACTGCACAATAAAACAAAGATCGAGAAACATGTTAAAACAGGTGAACATGCTCCTGAGGGGTAGGTTGCTTCTGCTTCATCAGTGGCACTGTGGCCTGTCGTGTCAAGTTGTTTATGACAAGTAAACCCCAACAACAAGTCACATTTGGCAATATCACAAACGAGGAAAAGAAAAATGGATTAGCTGTGGGAGGACATGTAGAACATATACCTGGTCATCTGTGACATAAATATTCTATAACCGTTACGATCCATCAACCAAATCATGATGCATCCGTAAAAGACTTCAACTTCCTTGGTTCAAGGATTTGTATAGTACTATAGTACTTGTTTCAAGGATATGGCAAAAAATTGTAATATCAAATGTTATATAGTTGTGGATTTTTGTAGTAAGTTGTGACACTTCTAACACAAAAGCTATGACCAAGTTTGTGATGTCGATCATATAACTTTTAAATTGATTCTTCTATTCGTTTTTTTTGCTAACCCTGTTTGCGCAGTTTCGGGTAAAAGGTACAACTCTGTTTGTGAAATCGCCAATTTAAGAACATGCTCTGGTATATTATATCAGATTAATTTGTTAGATAAACGTCACAGACTGGGACAAATAGCATGGTTCAGGTACTACTCAAATATGGAAAATTGACGATACGAAATCTGGAATTTGCGCGTTGGTCAAGATTCTTGTGTTGGGTCGTTCATTAAAGCCAGTTGTTAAAAAAAGAAGAAAAAGAAATGAATCAGATCTTATAGAATTCGAAGTGTTGTTAATTTGAATGCATTGAAATCGACAAAATAAGAATAATAAGAATAGAATAAGAATAAGAATAAGAATAATTATTGCTCCAATAAAGGGCCCTTGATGGGCAGCATGACATTCATACACACAAAACAATACATAATGATTTGTAACAAAAACATTTATTTTATATTGAAATAAAATATGAAATGTTCATATAGTTATAAAGCTACATATATTTCTTTATCTTACATAAATCATGTACATTTTATTCCAGGCAGGACCAGAACCATAAAATCATTACAATAATCATCGTTATTATGTATACTAATTTATGTTTCGTCTAACATCTAGACATTTAAATAACATAATTCCCTCAATATTATAGGACAGACTAATTTTCATTGGTAAATAAATAAACACAAATTTTTCCTCATTTGAGAGATCTAAAAAGTTATGACAAATATGGTTTATCTCCTTGAAAAAATATCTCCCTATCATCATTGTATGCTGGACAACTAGTAATAAAATGTTGTTATTCTTCAACCAAATTAAGGGTATATTTCCTTCAAAGCCTCTGATCTCTTTCTATATATAAAGTTTTACACCTGTCTCTTTCTATTTTGGGATCATGGGCACTGATTCTGATTTTACATATGGCACTTCTCAATCGAAAATTGTTTAAAGATAGATAAATTTCTTTAGAAAAACATGTTTTTAGCTTGATATAAGTATCTAATTTACTTCTTTTTGTATCTGTTCTTTTCGTGTTCCAAAATTTGACAAAACTATTACAAAGGTTTTGCTTAAATGACTTGATAAAAAGGTTAAACTTTAAATAAAAACCTTGGAAAAACAACCCGTGAAAATATCTATGTTTACAGTATTCGCTGAAATAAGAACGACACCATCAGTGAAATAGTGAAATGAAGAACATAAGACTTTGTCTTTTCTTTCGAAAGGCTCCGTTTCATTTGAAAAAAATTGACAGCAAAATCTGTACGTTTTTCTTTGATCAACAAATGTTTCATATCATGCATGTTATCTAGGTAACATTCTCCCAGTGTATTCAAAATGTACCCCGACATATTGATTCTTGCATTCTGACTGATGTCAGAAACTGCGGCTATACTAGCACTTAACATATTTTTTTTTATGTCTTACAAATCGAAGACATTATATTCAACAAAAACAGAGATTATGTCATCTACTTTATTCATACAAGTTAATTCTGTGTTTATTTCAACAGAAACCCAAACCTTTTAATATATGCGTTTTGAATTATGTTAGAAACGTCAATTGTATTCGCAAACCAATATAATCCATGTGTTATTCATTTGTCCTTTTTCATGACACGTAAATTTTGTTTTAAACAGTTATACAATAAGTCGAAAAATAACCTAATTTTTCCTCAAGTCGAATATTTTTGATGTGGTGTGTGATAAAAAAAACCACCCACCGATGAAATGACTGATAACCGAAAAAACTAAGTCGTGATATAACAAATCTTATAATTAGTTGAAGATATACAGATAATGTTTATTATGGTGCTATTATTAAACATGAAAATAAAATCAAAAACCTAACGACAACAAAAAAAAAAAAAAAAAAAAAAAAAAGAAAAAAAAAAGTAGAAAAATCAAAACAAAACAAAACACAAAACACAAAACACAAAACACAAAACACAAAACACAAAAACAAAAACATTCAAGGAAAAAAAGGAAAGGTAGTTTCATTAATTAAATTGTCATTTGTACATTTCCTGCTCTAACATTTATAGGATCTTAACATAAAAGAAAAAATAAACATATAAAACTTCTAAGTAAAACCTAAAAAATTGTTCATTTAATGTTGTTTGCTACTCTTGTTTTTCACTTTTTGTCAGATATTCGGAATTCTCTAGTTTTATCCATGTAGTGCCAATAAAAAATTTGCACTACTTTTCTTCTCATAATTTTAATACATATAGTTTAAAAACACATTTTTCACATTCTTATAAAATACTTGTTATTTTTTCATAGTTTTTGAAAGATAACAGAGAGAATCATTTCCCGCCAAATTTTCAATTGTTATATCTCAAAAACATTAACACGGACCTGTCCTTTTTCTACTTTCGAAGTTCCGTTTTTATATTCTATCAATTTATAACAGTCTTTTAACTCTTTTTAATAGAGTAGCGAACATCCTTAAAGATAATGACAAATCAAGCATATCTTCAATACAAAAATAAAACGATCAACTTGAAGAGAAAATGACATTACAGGTTGTCTTATTTTTTAAACCTTACAATTGCTTTACTCAAAGTAAGACTATTTTTTATCTTTAACTTGTTAACAATTATTTTGCCCAGAAATTAAGACTAAGAAGATGATGCTAGAGTAATACCTTAAAATAAATTAAGACACCATATAGCACAAGTTGAAATACTAGTGTAGACATGAATATGTTGGGTGTTGCTATTGTGCAGTTCATTGAAAATACCCAATACTGGTACCATAAAGAACAATGTAGGCTATTATCATATCCCACGCAACGAAGATCTAATGTTTTTTGACCTGTCCCTCAGTTCGTTCGTTTGTCAATTATCATGAAATCACTATCACTATTCGTCCGTTCGTCATCATTTTGTTGTCGCCAGGATAGCGACTTCATTTTTGGAAAAACCTGAAATTAGGCCATTTTTTAGGAGGGGATTATTAGAAGTTTCAGCCATAGTCATTCTTGATGCCATGCAGGATAGCGCCTTTGTTTGTCACCTTCATTTGAAGGTTCCAACTTATCAAAGTCTTGAATGAGTTAGATGATAAAACGAAATCCGTCTATGTATTACTTCACGGCAAAATGAAACATTTTTATATTTTAAAAATGCCCATTTTTGTTAAGGTATAATACTAACAAAAGTAATCGTTCTATAAAAGCATTCCTATATTTTTCAAAAGTTTCTCAAGAAGGAGGTGTACACTTTGCATACGGGAACATTGTGTTCAATAACACTTCAATAAATATCAAATACAGTTG